AAAGATCTTAAAAGTTTACCAGTCTAGAGTCAGGCAAACAATCTACAAATGGAGACACTTTGGGACTGTGTCTACTCTACCAAAAGTAGGCGCTAGTGATATGTCATTCACGAACAATTCATGACTCGAGAACCTTGGGTCGTCTTGGGGAGTGATTCATTCATTTTGTGTTGACCGCGCATGCGCAACTTCGGTTTAGAGTCGTTCGTTTTTGTAACGTGACATGGCCATTTTGTTGGATACAGAAATTAGTTAATTTTCAACCATCCTTAGTTTTTTTACTCTTAGTTTTTTTACCCTTACTGGCCTGGCCAGCCTGCAATCACTGAGGGGAGGATGAACTCCCAAGTGTAACAAAAAATTCCTCAGGATAATGTGAGAATGTCTGTACATCAGCTGAAACTCTGTAGAAGTTGGGTGATGCAACAAGACAATGACCAAAAACACCGGAGGAAGTCCACAACAGAATGGCTTCAGAAAAACAAAATCCGCCTTTTGGAGTGGCTAAGTCACAGCCCATACCTCAACCCAACAGAGATGCTATGGAATGACTTGAAGAGAGCCATACACATGAGACATCCAAAGAATATGATGGCGCTAAAACAGATCTGCCAGGAAGAATTGGCTAAAATTCCTCCTGAATGATGTGCAGGTCTGTTCCACAGTTACAGGAAGCGCCTGGTTGAGGTTATTGCTGCCAAGGGGGGTCCAACCAGTTATTAATTCCAGGGGTTCACTTTTTCCACTGCCATTTTGAATGTTCAATGAGTGTCTTCAATAAAGACATGAAAGATCAGAATTTTTTTGTGTGTTTTGTAGGCACATTATATCTGTCAGTACTTTTGACTTAGATGAAGATAAGATCACATTTTATGACAAATTAATGCAGAAAACCATGAAATTACAAAAGGTTCACATACTTTTTCTTGCCACTATACATACTGCTCATACACCATAAAACTGACCAAACACTAACTTTGGAACAATACAATAAATATAAAACTAAGGAAGCTTCTTGACATAAAAACACATGAGGCAAAGGTAGGCAAAGCAAAGCAAAACAGGCAAAGCAAAGGTAGGCAAAGTAAAGCAGCAGTGGGTATTACTCCTGCAAAGAGCAAAACCACTATCAATAAATAGCATAAAAAAATTCAAAACAATTAAAACAAAAACTGCTGAAGGTTACCTTGGCTACATCTCACACTGCGGTGTCATAGCACAACATCTGCAACAGATGCCAACTCCTGCAGTATCATGCTTGCATCAATTATCACCCATGGAGAAGCATGGGGTAGTCCCCTGAACAATCTACAAAAGTATTGACTAAATAATCATTTTACACCACAACAAATCTAACATGCAATGAATTCACTACACATACCTCAGAGGAAAGTAGGACACAGATCAACAAAGGGAGATTGAACTTCACTTCAGGAATAGTCACTGCAGCGACCAGCATAACAATTGCTTATGGCAGCAGCTTCTCCAGGGGTGGTATTTATATCCATGATCAACACGAAATTGCTCACCTGGCCTTATACAGTGAGGAACAGAAGTATTTGAACACCCTGCGATTTTGCAAGTTCTCCCACTTAGAAATCATGTAGGGGTCTGAAATTCACATTGTAGGTGCATTCCCACTCTTTCAGGAAATCACATTGTATGTTTTTTAAATAATTTATTTGTCTTGCACTGCTGAACATAAGTATTTGAACACCTGAGAAACAGCAAGAATTCTGGCTCTCAAAAACCTGTTACTGTGCCTTGAAAAAGTCCACCTCTACTCCACTCATTAATCTAAATTAGTAGCACCTGTCTGAGCTCTTTAAAGACACCTGTCCACCCCACAGTCAGTCAGACGCCAACTACTACCATGGGCAAGACCAAAGAGCTGTCAAAAGACACCAGAGACAAAATTGTGGACCTCCACAAGGCTGGAAAGGGCTACGGGGCAATTGCCAAGCAGCTTGATGAAAACAGATCAACTGTTGGAGCAATTGTTAGAAAATGGAAGAGGCTAAAGACGACTGTCAGTCTCCCTCGGACTGGGGCGCCATGCAAGATCTCACCTCGTGGGGTATCACTGATGATAAGAAAGGTGAGGAATCAGCCCAGAACTACAAGGGAGGAGCCGGTCAATGACATGAAGAGAGCTAGGACCACAGTTTCAAAGGTCACTGTCGGTAGAACACTACGCCGTCATGGTTTCAAATCATGCATTGCACGGAAGGTTCCCCTGCTCAAGTCATCACATGTCCAGGCCCGTCTGAAGTTTGCCAAAGACCATCTGGATGATCCAGAGGAGGCATGGGAGAAAGTCATGTGGTCAGATGAGACCAAAGTAGAACCTTTTTGGTCTAAACTTCACTTGTCGTGTTTGGAGGAAAAAGAAGGATGAGTTGCATCCCAAGAACACCATCCCTACTGTGAAGCATGGGGGTGGTAACATCATGCTTTGGGGGTGCTTTTCTGCGAAGGGGACAGGACGTCTGCACTGTATTAAGGAGAGGATGAATGGGGCCATTTATTGTGAGATTTTGAGCAACAACCTCCTTCCCTCAATCAGAGCATTGAAGATGGGTCGTGGCTCATGACAACGACTCAAAGCACACAGCCAGGATAACCAAGGAGTGGCTCCGTAAGAAGCATATCAAGGTTCTGGAGTGGCCTAGCCAGTCTCCAGACCTCAATCCAATAGAACATCTTTGGAGGGAGCTTAAACTCTGCGTTGCTCAGCGACAGCCCCGAAACCTGACAGATCTAGAGGAGATCTGTGTGGAGGAGTGGGCCAAAATCCCTGTTGCAGTGTGTGCAAACCTGGTCAAGAACTACAGGAAACGTTTGACCTCTGTAATTGCAAACAAAGGTTTCTGTACCAAATATTAACACTGATTTTCTCAGGTGTTCAAATACTTATGTTCAGCAGTGCAAGACAAATAAATTCTTTAAAAATCATACAATGTGATTTCCTGAATTTTTTTTTTTATTCTGTCTCTCAGAGTGGGAATGCACCTACAATGTGAATTTCAGACCCCTCCATGATTTCTAAGTGGGAGAACTTGCAAAATCGCAGGGTGTTCAAATACTTCTGTTCCTCACTCATTACACATGGTTTAACCCAATCTCTACATTTTTATTCACTTTTTATCTTTTTACTATTAGTTGTTAGTGTGTGAGTAGCAGGTAAATCTCTTCAATGAAAATTATTATGTTCAAAGATACTGTATGAAATATTAGCAGGATGTGTCAACTACTGCCAAACTTAATCACAAATTACTGGCATGTTATTAACCATGACAAACAATCAGTCTCAGCCCTCTTAGTAACTATTTCTTATCTCTTTGAGTTTCCCGTGGAACAAAGGGCCTCAACAACAGCTCTCCAACGCAGTCTATTCTGGGCAGCCTTTTTCACTTCACCCCACGACAGGTTGCAGTTCTTCA